CCACATTTTACGATCTAATGGCACTTTTGAGGGGTCGGGTCCCATGCAAATTCTCGGGTGAATTTCTGGCCCATCGTTAAGCAATTTGAATAATTTTAGGTAGCAAACAACTAAGGGCAGCGATTATTTACCGAATTGTATAGGGTAGGTGGAGCTGGGTTTCGCATCTAGTCACAAAACTTGAGCTGATGCTGTGGGTTTCGTAAGATCCCAGTTCCTTCGTTTTAGCTCTGCTCCCCAATATGCATCTCTGTACTTAGCATTCTTTCAGGTAGTGAAACCATTTAAAAGCAATAAAAATTTGTTTTTAAAACTCCTGACATTTGATTAGTAACTGTTTACTTCTTTTTATATTCGGAGTCTGGAATAATTTACTTAAATTTGATAATTCTTTGTTTGAAGCCCCTAATCCATTTAAGTAATCTCACAGTAAAAGGAATAGACAGATGAGCCGATACATAGCTTTTTTTATCATCAGATATTACCAAGCGGACTCCCGTTTGAATAATGAAAGTTTACATTCAGATTTCATCAATTCCTCTCTTCCTTTTGAGTGAAATATAAATTAAAGGAAGTACAACCTCTTCCTTAGCTCTCTCTAGTTTCTGCCTTGCTTGGCAGAAGAAAATTTGGTGAAGTGGAAACTCATGTATAGTTCTCGATTCATTTTTTCTTGATTCGTTATAATGAAAGTTGCGAAAGCCTTAAAACTGAATTAAAACAAATGTTTGCTTTTGACTCAAACATGGAAATGTCTTGGTCCTTTTACTTAATTTAAATTTCCTGTAACGGAGCACTTCACCACGTTCATTATTTTCTCAAAGCCACTGGCACCAACCCAATTTTTCTTTGGTAGTATTCATTTTAATTTGTCGAAAACATGCAAAAAACAGAAAATCAACTTATTCATATATAAAAATTTTGCTTCATGATCGTTCTTTTAAAAGCAACGTATTGTTTTCCCATTTGCGGTATTTTGTATATGAAAGTTATACTGGGCGCACTTTTATCTATAGTGGCATTACAATTATATTAGCTAGTGGTTTTTATAACTACTGATTTATATGAAGGTCTATTCAACGTGAACTCCGGCCTGGTTTCGATCATTCATTTGTATGATGCAGTAAGAATAGTAGCAGTAACAGTTATTAGTTGCCTATATCGTAACCTAAATTTTCGTTACATGTTCCCATTTTCCTTCTGTATTTAGGGCCACCTCGTGTTCTCAGTCATCGTCGAGGTACTCTCGGTGGAAGCCTTTTTCGCCCATCAATTCAAGGTGGGACAAACCAAGCGCTCATGTGCGTCGGGATCGAACGACTGGCAAACGGTACTCCTACTTTAATAGTTGTATTTCTGGTGATTTATATAAATTTGCAACGACAGCAATTAGATTCCTTTTTCCTTTTAGATATTTGTTATGTGTGGTTTACTCGATCCCCATAAGTATATTTCGGTATAAAAAGGGATGCCTACATAATCCCTGGGGTTGCAGTCGTTCTTTATAGTTTATTTGAGGCGTACTTAGAATTAACTTTGATAATGTTATTGCTTATATGTATTGTTTCCGTTTTCTACCATTATCGAACATATACTTGATGTTATCTTTGATTTGATTCCTTGATTTTAAGTAATAGGTTTGTTTGAGTCAGCAACTACAGTATTACTCCTGATAAACGGTTATTAGGCACTTCTGTCTCTTAATCTCTCTCGCAAATTACTGCATTCAGTTATGTTTACAAGAGGTTATACTCCATAGTTACGCTAATCCAGAGCTGCTTGTGACAAGCAACCTTGTTGCCCTTTGTGAAAAATTAGCTTTTTTGCACAATTATGGCCTTTATTTATAATATGCCTCTTGTTTACTCTCGCTAGCTTTTTTAAGAGGGATGGTTCAATAATAAACAAATTATAGTCGATTTAGTGTAAATGATATCTGCTAGTAAAGTTCTTTTCCAAAGGCCCTCCTTTTACACAGTATTCTAAGCCTTTTTTTGCCTTGTTCATTCCTTTTAGAAATGGTCATAACCAGATATCTAGCTAAGATGTATTGTGGAGCTACAAAGGTTGATTTTGCAAGGGGTGTCGTAGGATCCAAAAACCTTTTTCTTTCCCAATAACTGAATGCCTTACTTCAAGATTTAGTATTCGCTTCAATATCTTGTGTTTTATAGTCATGCGATGATTCTTGACTTTAGAGTACCACTAAACCGTCCCTATATTTTACTCCGCACACGATGTTTAGAATTAATTTCCTATTTATCTACATTTTTTTCATATCCTGATTTTCTTGTATACCGATGTAAACTTATGCTTTTTGCCTGGTTGAGTTCTATCATCTCTAACTTCCTCTTTACCCTTAGATGCGAAGTTCTTGCAAACGCGGCTCACCGAGTTGAACAGCTGGGCGGGCAATCTGCATTCGTTGCAGGTGAGTCGTAATCCTCTCAGATCATTTATTGAAGTTACACTAAAGAATCCTTACATGCTCTAAGGACTACTGCTAAGCACTCTTTAAATATAAACCACTTCTGATTAAGGTCTGCTTGTAAGGGCCCGTGATATTTTTTAGGATAAATGATGTATAAATTGAATTATTTTATGGATTCAACTTCCTAGCTTTGTGTTTCACTTTGATCCAACTTTTTCCAGACTATTGGTCTCCAAAGTGGCACGAATGATAGAGGTGACGTGACCAAGATTGCTGACCGACTCAACCACTGCATTTCAACAGGTAACTCATCTATAAAATATCAGCCTATTGACATTATGAGTGGCTTCCGTCTCTTCTAGATTTCTTTTTTTGTTAGCCTTATCCTTTGATCTGTTTAAGTTGACCTTCTTTTACTTGCTTTAAAGATAACCCCACAGAAAGCATTATGCTTGATTGATCTAAGTCGAAATGGTTAGGGATAATTGGCCCTCACGAAGCATTTTCAAGTTGAATGCTGATTGTTAAATAGTGTGCTGCATCATGTGGACGTTTGATTTTAGGTCACAAAAATGAATGCATTTCTCGACTGGTTCATCGGCGGAACCTAAGAGATATTTCTCTCAGCAAAGATTCATTAACCTTGGGTTGATCTTTTGCCTCTAAAATATCCATTGATTGGTTATTTTTAGACAGCACTTTATTTTTTCATCCTCAAGATTTTGCTTTCTTTAATTTTCACGTGAGACATATTCTCGAAAAGTAACCACTTATCAAGTAGCGGAAATATAGGAGTACTGGAAAATTGTTATCGTTTCATGCAAGTACTTTATTTTATCTTTGCTTGGTACTAAAATTTAAAATGTAACACATTCCTTAATTTGATCTCAACTTTAATGGATAAAAGTGCCCTGATTACTCTTCTTTGCTAAAGTCTTGTATTGGATATTGATGAAACTCGTTTGGCTTTTAATACAATGTGACATATGAGACTTTGATAGACGATTAGATTATCAGAAAACCATGGTAAACCGTGTTTAATATTATATCATATTTGACTTGGGAAATATGCTGAATTGTGGCTCCTCAATTTATGTTTCTGTTCGGCATCAAGCACCATTAATTTTGCGAGCTTTTCCTCTGTTTGTTTTCAACTTCAATTTGTTTTATAACCGGATATGCCCAAAAGTCTAGCATATGAGCAGACTATGAAGACGAAATGTTTTATCAGATTTTTTTAATATTAAATATTTAAATTTCTTTTAGCCATAATCTTCCATATTTCAAGATAGATGAGGCGATGAGAATTTTTATGTGTTTATTTTTAAAAACGTTCCTATGATATATATCCAATGTTTCATGGATTTACTTGCTTGCCTCAATTAGAATGTACAGAGTACTCCCTAACTTTGATTGCGTTTAATAATTCCCATTTTCTTGATTTGGCATCCAGAGGAGGGCCAAATAGTCCTCTTCTTTTTACGCATGAAAGTGTCGTAGGAGGTTATTAGTATCGTATAGTTTAATGAATTTACTGTCCTCATCATTCTTCATAATCGGAAGGGCACATTCACATTATATTTCATGAGCTTCATCAAAATATACTCTATCTAACTGCACATGATATCTATTTCAATTTTTCGGTA